TGAGCTTAAAAACGAGAACATGGCACTTCGCCAGGAATCGTCTGCACTTTCTGCTCGAGTGGTTCAGTTGCAATCAAAACCGGCCGTCACTTCGGATTCTGAAGTGTCGTCAAAGCTACTTCGTGAAATTTCTGAGAGAAATTCTTCTGAATATAACGTAATTATATATGGTCTTCCTGAGTTGGATTCACCTTCGATTAATCAAAGAATCTCCGATGATTGAGCTGAGCTATCTAGTGCTTTGTCACCCATTCAAATTGATTTACCTATTGATTTCAAATTAGTTCGCCTTGGTAATAATAAGGCCAAGAAACCTAGACCGATAAAAATAATTTGTAAGTCAAAAGAAAATGCAGCTCAACTCATATCCGAATTCAGGCAGGCAGTTAGAAGCGGAAGTAGTATTCGTGATGGTCTTCGAATAATCCGAGACAAGACTTCGTTGGAACGGAAGCTACTCCGTACTGCTCATATAGAACTCGAGAATAGAAATAAATCAGGCGAATCAAATTTAGTAATATCTTATGTTAAAGGTGTCCCTACGGTTACAAAGTCACACTCAAAAAACGGAGTCACTGGTCGGGATTGAGGCCAGTGAATAATCAATCATACCTTAATGAATTACTTAATTCTAATTTGCATGTTTCTTTTAATTCAACTTGTAATAAATGTACTAATGCTAACCTTTTGTTTGATAATTTTTTAATAGAATTTACTGATTTTATTAAAATACATACTAATTCCAATATTCCTGTTAGTAATATTAAGTCGCATATTTATTCAAATAATAATAAAAATAATTTATCTTATAATTTGCAATGTAACTTACCTAATATTAGTCTTAGTTCTAAGTTTAATCTTAAAATTATGTATCAGAATGTTCGTGGGCTCCGGACTAAGTTACATGATGTAATATCTAATTTTCCTATACTTAATTATGACATATTTATACTAACTGAGACTTGGCTCTCCTCAGATATTGTGAATGCAGAATTAGGTTTTACTGGATTTACAATATTCAGAGCTGATAGAAATGCATATACCAGTACATGCACTAGAGGTGGTGGGGTCTTGATAGCGGTGAGACAGACATTATGTCCCTCTATATTATGTTGTGCGGTAAAGTCAGTTGAACAGCCATTTATTAAATTATCTATATCTAAGAAACATTTATTACTAATAGGAGGAGTATATATACCACCGTCAGCCCCAATCGAGTAATACACGGCACATGCTGAAACTGTTGATGAATTGTGGCAGTCTTCTGGGTGTAATATGGGAATTATATGTGGTGACTTCAATTTACCAAATGTTAATTGGCATAATAATGTTTCGGGAGTGTCATTATCGGGTACCGTTAATGATAATGTCAAGGCAATAGGTGATGTATATCGTTTCTTAGATTTTTCTCAAAATAATTCCATTAGAAACCAGGCTGGTTCACTCCTTGACCTTGTTTTCACATCTGAAATAGACATAGTTGTTGACACATCAACAGACTCATTAGTTATGCCAGATAAGTATCATCCACCATTAAACATTACATATTCCATGCCTGATGTGCCACCTCAACTGGATGATCAACACTCATTCCGTAATTTTAATTATGCCGATTATAACTCGATTATTAATATTCTGAGCACCATTAATTGGGAAAGTGAGTTTAATAATCTTGGAATTGAAGCTGCAGCTAGTCGTCTACAAACAATTTTAATAACGTTAATTGAGCAATATGTACCAGTTCATACATTTCGTCGCTCAACTTTCCCCAAATGGGTAACACTTAAATTGAAAAATTTAATCATTGATAAAAAAATTGCACACAAAAAACTGAAACAGTTTGGCACAATGCACTATCGTCATAGATTTTCGTTTTTACGTGCTCAAGTTAAACTCGAGTAAAGGTTGGCATATGAGTCCTATCTAAGTAGGATAAATACTTCTCTCCAGAATGACCCACATAAATTTTGGTCGTTTATCAATAATCGCCGAAATACATCAGGTATCCCAAATGTGATGCATTATGGTGATATTATTGCATCAGACGTAGATATTGCAAATCTATTTGCACTTCTTTTCAATTCCGTTTATAAATCACCGTTACCCCCCCCCCCCCCACATTGGAATGCTGAAAATATTGGCATTAAACCATTTACATTTCTGCCTTCTAGACTTACTATTGAACTTGTTGAGGTAGAAGAAAATTTACTATCCCTGAGAACAACTAAGAGTCGTGGGCCTGATGGTATATCAGCTCAATTTTTATTTAGTATTAGGGCACAGTTAAAATATCCTCTATTGTGTTTATTTAACCTCTCATTAGCCGAAGGTATATTTTCATCAATATGGAAAACGAGCCAGGTAACACCTATTTACAAATCAGGAGACCCAGGGTCAGTATCTAATTATCGTCCAATTTCTGGTTTACCTCTAATTGGTAAATTATTCGAAAAGATTGTTAATAAATGTATTGAACGTAGATTTAAACTAGTTTTATCAACAAATCAACATGGGTTTTATGGCGGTCGTTCCACAACAACTAGTGCCTTAGAATTCTCTGCGTTTATCAGGGATAGCTTCAAAAATATGAGTCAAGTTGATGTGATATTCACTGATATTTCTAAAGCTTTCGACTCCATAAACCATATTGTGTTAATTGATATTCTGGATAGATTGGGTATAGGTGAACCTCTGCTATCCTGGTTCAAATCCTATATAACCGGTCGACGACAATTTGTATCCTTATTTAATCAAAAATCCGCGGAATATTTAGTCACTTCCGGAGTCCCACAAGGTGGGCACTTGTCTCCACTTTTATTTAATATTCTAATAAATACTTTATGCGAATCTGTTGACAGCAAAATGCTATTATTTGCGGATGATGTAAAATTATATAATTGGGTTCAATCTGAGAGTGATGCTATTTTGTTACAAGAATCGTTGAATAAGTTAGTCCATTGGTGTAATACAGTTGGGTTAGAGCTGGCTATCCATAAATGTAAAGTTATGTCTTTTTCGAGACGTCACTCAATTATTCAATATGATTACTCTATTGATAACGTGATGTTACAGCGAATAAACCAAGTTGAAGATTTAGGTTTTATTTTTACTCCAATGTTATCGTTTGCACCTCATATTGACTGGATAGTAGGCAAAGCATTGCGATCATTAGGGTTTATTAGGCGACGTGCAGGGTCGGTCATGTCTGTAAAATGTTTGTTAATATTATATGCTACTCTAGTTAGATCAATTGTAGAGTATGGATCTGTGGTATGGTCTCCGAGGACCAAATGTGATATTATTCGAATTGAACGTGTTCAGCATCGTTTATTAAGCATGGTTTCTCGATCTATGGGCATTAATCATGAACCCCATGACTATAAACCCGTCTTAATAGCACTCAATTTATCCACCCTAAGCGAAAGAAGAAATATGAGTGATATTAAACTTTTAAATAGTTTAGTCTCTGGTGTAATTGACTCACCAGACTTGTTATCTAGAATAGGTTTTCGCATTCCAGGTACAACCCGTTCTCGTGACCCCTACTACCTTGCTTCAGTGTCAAAAAATTATTTGGATGATGATCCTTTAAGGAGAGCTATGTCTTTAGTTAATAGTCAAACTAGTTAAACATTTTTTCTATTTTAGGTTTTTCTTCCGTTAAATTTAATTTTCAGGAGCCTACTATGTACTACTGTATAATTTTAATTTATTGATATTCAATGTGTTATGTTTAGATATGTATATATATAAAAATATGTTATAATGTATATTCATTAATAAGTAATATATTGTAAAAGCTGTATGGCGTTTAAAATAAAAATAAAATAAAATAAAAATATTCGTATCCTTATATCCAATAAGCGCAGAGCAAGGGCCGTTTACCAACGTTCACGTCTTCCATCCCACAAACGTATTTATAACAATCTATCTAACTCGCTGAAAAAAATACTAGCATGGTCACATCATATTAAAATTAAAAGGCTAGCCCTAAATGCACGACTCCGCATCCTCAAAACTCTAATTACCAAAAACAAACACACTCCATTAAATACTAAACTCTTAATTTATAAATTCTTGTTTAAGCCTATGTGGACCTATGGTCTTCAACTCTGGGGCAATGCCAAAAAATCTAACACTAATAAAATTCAAACCTTCCAAAACAACATCCTTCGTAAAATCACAAACTCTCCTCCATATATTTCAAACCTAACTTTACACACCAATCTAAAAATTAAAACAGTCCACGAAGAAGCAGTAACCTTTTATAAACGTTTCCACTCAAAACTCCCTTCTCATACCAACCCCCTCATATTTTCAAACCTTTCCACATTCACAATTCCTGGGAACCCTCCTAGGAGGCTCAGAAGAAAATGGTGTCGAGATCTTCTCAATGAGTAACACATAATAATGAGCAAACATTATAGAAAAAAAAATAAAAAATAAAAAAAAATATCAAGTAAGGGTAGTGTAACCACTGGGTGACTCCTCCCATCACGTTTTTCATGTTATAAACTTTTAAAATATCACATATTCTTATTGTTCCTAAAATAACAGATTGTATATATACTCTGTTCAAAATAAGATCGTGACCCAGCGGCCGAGTTGTGCGCATGGGCGTGGCTTTTTTCCGTGGCTGCGCTCGACGCGTCGCTGTAGTGGGGACGGCATCTGGCCATATGTCTGACCGCCGCCCGACGAAAACTGGTCGCCGCCGGGTCACGATCTTATTTTGAACAGAGTATACCTTATAAATAATAAAAAAAAAAAAAAAAAATGTATAAACAATTTGAGTATTAAAATGATCATTCTTACATTGCCCAAAATGGTCGGGCATTGTGTCCGGACATTGTTATATAATGCCTGGACTTACTACTTAGCCCGTAACAGATATCTATATATATAAAAAAGGTGGGCAAGTGGGTGTCGCTCTGCTGTACAGTAGGTTACAAGTGGGTCGTTGTATAATGGATGGTATTAAATTTGAATTCAATGATATAATATCATTGTATAAGAAAAACGATTCTGAGCGGAGACGGTATGTCCTTCTAGGTAAAAGACATATTATATACATATCTATGGTATTAAAAAAAATTGACCTATAATGAATTCCAAATTAATCATATCACAATATCCATTAGGTACTTATAAAGCGTTATACACCAACAACAAACCCTGATACTATCATAGATATATATAGTAGATTACTTTAGAAATTTCAAGTACCCACGAATAATATTATACAATCACAACAAAATAACTAAATTCGTAATTCTTGGTTTAAATATGAAATTTTGTCTAAACTTGAAATTAAAATGTCTATAAAAAATAAGTGTGTTTATATATTTTTTAGATTTTTTGGTTACAGTATGAATTATTTAAGAGAATCTTTGTTTTAAATTTTCAACTCTTAGTTATAAAAACTGAACATTTTATAATTTTTTAATTCCAACGATTGATTATTTTCGAGATTTTGATAAATTTTGTCAAAATTCCAACTTTAAATGCTTATAAAAAAAAATCGTGAGTATGTATTTTTAAAATTTTTCAACTGATATTGTAACAATATATAAGAAAGCTTGTATTAAATTTTTATACTTTTTGACCCAACAAATAAAACTTTATTGATATTTATAGAAAAAAAAACTAAATAAATCGAAAACTGAAAATGTCCGTAAACAGCTCAAAAAGAGTCAAAATATTTTCAAAATTGTATAGTGTTTAGAAAATGCTAATATAAACATTCAGTGAAATTTTCATATATCTATAGTTATTCGTTTGTGAATTACAACAAAATAAGGAAATCGCTACATGAGAAATCGAGTGAACATCCAATGTTGTAAAAATTTGAATTTCAAACGCTCATAAAAATTTAATTTGACTGTCCGGTAGAGATTTTTTTATTGATAAAGGTAGACAAACTTATGAGTAATCTTGTATTACATTTTCAAATCTTAGATTTAAAAAGAAAAATTTTTGCGAATTCTTAACTCAAAATAATTTGCTAATTTTCGTGATTTTTCCATATTTTGTAAATTTTTGAACTTTAAATGCTTATAAAAAAAAATTGTGACTAAGGATTTTTAATATTTTTTATCTGCCTTTGAAACAATATACTAGGAGTCTTCTATTAAATTTTCAAGTTTTTTTAACCAACAAATAAAATTTTATTGATATTTCTAGAAAAATAACTAAAAAAAAAATGTAAAATGAAAATGTCCCTAAACAGTTCAAAATAAATCAAAATATTTTGAAAATGTTATCGTGTATAGAAAATGCAAATATAAACAACCAGTGAAAATTTCATGTATCTACGGTCATTTGTTTTAAAGTTACACCAAAAACCAAATTCGATTTTTTGGAAAATCGATTTTGCGTAAAAATTCCCGTTTTTCCTTAATTTTTATGTTGTTTTTTCCCGGCGCTTGTGAAAACTACTGGAAAATGTTTACTTTTGACCCCCCAAAGTACCATCTAGATTCACTTTCCTATCAGAAAAGGTACTATTGAAGAAAATCGAAGCACTTTTACTGTCCCATAACGTGATGACAGACACAAAAAAAAATATAAAAATATAAAAATATAAAAAAAAACACACATCATTGTAAAACCAATACATTCATCGCTCCGCTCAGAATCTAAAAGGTGGGCAAGTGGGTGTCGCTCTATTGTACAGTAGGTTACAAGTGGGTCACTGTATAATGCAGTGGTTCTTAACCTTTTTCGAATGACGGAACACTTAACATTTTACAAGATTTTCGCGGAACACAACCGTAAAATAAAATAGTAGTACATACATTTTTAATTTTTTAATATGTTAAACAATGAATGTATAGCATAAAATTTTTTGCATACCATACATGTTAGTGTTAGTCACTAAAAAATAATAAAATAATAAAAAGAGTAAAAAAAATTTAAAAATTTGAAATCGAATACTTTGTATGAGATATTTGTGCCTGATGATTTTTACAGATATTTTCAATATCTGGCCGTATGTACGATATTGCTACTCTCATTTCCTCTTCAATATTTGTCAGCCTTTCTCGTTTCTTTGTTTTGATATTCGTCAGTGTTGAAAATCCAAGCTCACATAAGTATGAGGTTGAAAATTGTAATAATATTGAAATTGCTTTTTCAGAAATTTTTTTAAATTCGGTTTGAACTGAAATCCAAAATTCTTCTACTGTTATTTCGGAAAATTTTATTTTTAGAGTTCGATCTGTTGTTAGCGTTATGAATTCTTCCTCTTCTTCTAACGTAAATTCATAACTTGACGTGTTGATGGTAGAAAATGGATTTCGTATCCAATCATACTTTTCAATATTCAATTCAGGAAAGTATTTCGTGATTTTTTCTTCTAATAATGCTAAATGTTCTGTTATAATAGGAATTATTTCATTATTATTTTTAATTGAAGGAAACATGTCCACCGTATTTTTTTGAATTATACGCGTTCTCCAAAAAGATATTTTTTTTTAAATGTTAACAGTTTATCCGTGGATGTAAGAATATTTTCGTTTTTACCTTGTATACCAGCATTTACGCTATTTAAATAATTAAAAATATCAGCTAAATATGCCATTTTAACACACCAAATATCGTCTGTAAGAAAAGATATAAAAACAGTGTTACCTTCGTTTTGAAAAAACATTAACAATTCATTCTTAAGTTCCAGAATTCGATTTAGAACTTTACCTCGCGATAACCATCTTACTTCACAATGTAAAAGTAAACATACGTGCTGAGCTTCCATTGATTCACACAGTTTTTTAAATAGGCGTGATTGTAATGGACGCGATTTTATGTAGTTAACCATGCTTACAATTTTATCCAATACAGACTTTAATGTAATAGGTAATGTTTTCGAAATAAGTGATTCTCGGTGTAAAAAACAATGTGTAGATATGATATTAGGATTTTTTTTTCTTCGCTAATGTTGTAAATCCTTTAATAGAACCAACCATTGAAGGAGCTCCATCGGTGCAGATTCCTACACATTGGTCCCATGTTATGTTAAATTTATCTAAATATGACGAAATTGAATCAAAAACATTCTGTCCTGTTGTACGTTCAGTAAGTTGTTTACAGCATAAAAATTGATTCACTATTTTATTTTCATCAATGAAACGAACAAATCCTAGTACGTGAGCTATACCACTGATATCAGTAGACTCGTCAATTTGCAAAGCGAAATATAGTTTATTAGTAGTAAACTTGTTAGTGACAGTTTTCTCAATATCATCTGACATGTGTATAATTCTGTTTTTTATTGTATCGTCTGAATGCGGAATTTTCATAATTTCTTTTTTTGCATCATCGCCAAACATAATTTGAACTATTTCTGAACATGCCGGTAAAATCAAACTCTCTGCTATGGTGTGTGGTTTTAACTGTTTTGCAATTATTTCGGCAACTTTATAAGATGCGATTTGTGCTTTATCAGATATTGTTACAATTTTTTTTAAATGTTTTCTTTGATTCATTTGATTATTCAACAACCTTTCAAAATAATTTTTTTCTTTAGACTGGAGATTGGCGTGCTTAGATGAAAAATGCCGTTTTAATTTCGATGGTGCCATTGCGCTATTAGACAACTTTTCCCCACAAACCACACAAAGGGGAATTTGACA